ATACATACTTCACATTGGTGAAAACTATTTCAGTTGCTACTAGTTGTTACTGTTAATGTAACGGCCCCGGAAAATATTAAAAAAGAAATGAGTATTTAAATATATCGAATGCGGAAGCGAGATCAAAATTTCAGTTAACATCCCTTACACGAAAAACAAAAAAAAAACGTACTTAAAATATAAAAGGTTAAACTAACTAAGAAAGAAAACTCGAAAATAAACTATGCGTATGACTACAGAGTCTCTAGGCATCCCCTTCGTCGTCCTCCTGCGGAACGGGCTCGGGAACCCTGTCTTCCTGATCTGAAATGGTTAATTAAGGAGTGAGCTACACTAGCCCAGTAAGAACATCACGATATCTCACCGTCACGGAGATAAAGGTGGGTAGAAAACCACAAAAAGACCAATGGAGCATAATTTACAATAAACTCGTTTATTAACATGAAAACCTTTACCATCCACTTACCTCGGTGGAATTTATGAAAACAATATAAGAAAAATAATAACATTATCACAATCATGGAATAATATAAGCTGTAAAACATAGCACTTATCACGCCTTTTGTAATTCAATCATTATACAACATATCCTTTTCTCATTTACCAGCCTACTAGTATCCATGGGGGTCCCTAGGGGTCCCGCTACCCGTTAACCTTTAACATTCATAATCAGTTTCCAGGGCCGTCCCCATACCCCGTCCGGTATGGGCGCCAAAACCATAAACCTCAATACCCCGTCCGGTATGAGGGTGAAACGGGCCGTCCCCATACCCCGTCCGGTATGGGCGCCAAAACCATAAACCTCAATACCCCGTCCGGTATGAGGGTGAAACGGGCCGTCCCCATACCCCGTCCGGTATGGGCGCCAAAACACATAAGATCTCCATGCCCCGTCCGGCATGTGAGACCACAATCCCGGGTAGGGTTCCCTACGGACCCGGTCCGTCCACCATCTCTCAGGATAGCTAGTCAGGCTGACCACAGTATACAATTTTCATTTACATAATCTTTCATTCTCTTTTTCCCTCAGTCAGCATTATCAATCACATACAAACAAGCAAAACGATAATTTATGCCAAACAGACTACATACAGCATCAATATCCCGGTCATTCAATCCATAATCAATAAAACAGTAGAATATGCACACGAAACTATAAAATGAAAACATCATATCTCATACTGCATTTAAAACTGTAAACAGGCCAAATAACAGTTAACCGACAAACACACTAGACTCGGGCTCCATTAGCGACCTTAAGCAATTTCACACATTCGTTGATTCATGAAATACCGTTTTATCATTTATTGAACTTTAAAACCGTGATAGGAAATAGGGTGAGGGGTCCTTACTCGTTTCGGGGTCCGAACACGACTTCACAGTGCGTTTGCAGGCTGTCCCTAATTTTCCCTGAATTTTTCTCGGGGAACTGAAACGCACTACTGGTACCTGCACGTGTTCCAAAAAATCCCAAATTAGGCCCAGGGCCCCTTTCGGCCAATATCGCAACTCCGGCACGGTGGCTCCGCCGTGCTCCGGCGACGGCGCCGCCGCTTGCGGCGGCGGTTTGCCTGGGGTTGGCCGTTTTCGGCCGTTTCCGGCCGAATTCGGCCACACTCGCATTGGTTCCTGCGATAAAACAACCCTACGGCCCTCGGGGGGCCGAAAATTTACGGAAAACCGAAGCTTACCGGCGGCGGTGCTCTCGGGTGCGGCGGCTCTCCGGTGAAGTTCGTGTTTTGGTGATTCGGCTCCGATCAACCTGCAGAGAAAAGAATGGTGATCACGGTGACATAAAAATTGCATTAAACGGAGGCCGGGAAGGGCCTCATCGGAGGCAAAAACCGAGAAGGGGCGCGACGGCGCCGCTGGCTTTCGGCCGTGTTTTCCGGCTGTTTGGCCGGGATTTTGGCTCCCGATTTGGCCACTGGGAAATCACCGTGGAAAAACGAGTCGGGGGTATGAAATTTACCTCGATCGG